GAAACAAAAGATATAAAATGGGATGGCTGAAGGGGAAAAATATCAAGAAAAACTGATTCCTTAGAAGAGAAGAAGAAAACCTGAGCCAGGAACTGAACATCCTGAGAATGGGACAATAAGAAATATTAAAACAAAATCACAGAACTGAAAAAAAAAACCCCAGAAGAAAATATAAGATGTAATATTAAAACTGACCTGGAAAACAGCTCAAGAAGAGATAATCCAAGAATTATTGGAATATCTGGAAGCAAAAATTGAAAGGAAAAAGAGTAAAATTTTGGGATTAGGGGTGAGGCAAGGGGAAGAGAAAAGCTGCAATAGAGCAGAAACAGGCTGCTTTATGTATAGATCTCAAGTGTTACACAAACTCTCTCTGTTTTACTCTACCTGCTTTTTCTTTGTAAACAGAGGGATGGGAGCAGAGAGGAAGAAATACAAGAGGTCAACATGGAGGGAAATACATAATTATCAATCAAAACCATGAATGTGAAGGGGATGAATTCAGCCATTTAAAAAAAAAAAAGAGAATAGCAGAATGGCGTAGAAAATAGAATGCAACAATATGTTGCTTATAAGAAATATATTTAAAACATAAAGATTCACATGGAATTAAAATGAGGGATTGGAGCAAAATTATGCTTCAACTGAACTCAAAACAAAAGCCTACAGTAAAAAGTCACTTAAAAAGAGATAAGCAGAGTGATTACATTATACTTAAATGTGCCATAGATAACAAATCAATATCAGTACTTAATTTATATGCACCATATAGCATAGCATCCAAACACTTAAAGGAAAAATTAATTGATTTGGAAAGAGAAAAAGTGAAACCATAATAGTGGAGAATCTCAATGTACCACTTGCAAGTCTAGACAAATATAACCAAAAGATAAACAAGAAAGAAATTAAGGACCTGAATAGAACTTCAAAAAATTAGAGATGATAGATTCCTGGTGGTTACTAATTAATATTAGAGATGAATGTATGTACTTTTAAGTTGCACATGGCACCTTTACAATAACTGACCATATATTAGAGGCATAAAATCCTTATAAAAATGCAGAAAAGCAAAAGTACCAAATATGTAGTTTACTGATACAGTTCAATAAAAATTATATTCAATTAAGGACCCTCAAGGAAAAAATTAAAAAATAATTGGAAATTAAATAACAATTTTAAAAATTGTTGGTTTAAAGAACGAGTTATAGAAAAAATAGAAAATTTCATCAAAGAATATAACAATTATAAGACAACCTACAAAACCTTAGGCTAGGCCTACACAACTTTCAGCCTGTGGGTTGCTTTGGTGGGCTACAAGCAGCCTATGTAGGCCTGCGTTAGGCCCTAAGGCTTAGGGTATGCAACTAAAGCATCTCAGAGGAAAAAAAAATGAATATCTCTTAAGTGCTTTAATCAGTAAAAGAAATAAGTCAATGAATTGGGCATTCAACTGAAAAAACTTGAATAATCCCCTATAAGCAATAATTTAGAAATTCTGAAAATTAAGAGATTAAAAGGATGATTGAATTGATAAATGAAAATAAGAGCAATTTTTAAAGGAAAAAAGTGATTAAAAAAATCGACTAGTTTGCTAAAAAAAATCAGAAAACCAAATTACATCAAAAATGAAAAAGGAGCATTTACAACAATTGAAGGAGAAATGAAAGAAATTAATCAGAAACTAATTTTTTCAGTTATATGATAATAAAATCAATCATTTAGAGGAAATGAATATTTACAGAAATATAAAATTTGTTAATCCGTATAAGACCAACAAAGAAGAAATAGTTTAAATAACCTAGTTTCAGAAAAAAGAAATTGAACAAGCCATAAATGAATTCCCAAAGAAAGAAATTCTAGGACCAGATGGATTTACAAGTAAATTCTACCAAACATCTAAAAAACAATGAATTCCAATATTATAAAAACTATTTACAATTATAGGAGATAAAGGCATCCTTCCAATTTATTTCTGTGAATATGAATATGGTTTTTAATACTGAAACCAGAGAGACAAAGTAAAAGAAAACCATAGACCAATATCCCTAGTAAACACCAATGTAAAACTTTTAAATAAAATACTAATAATTTGCTGACATACTAGAAAGATTATATACTATGACTAGGTTGAGTTTATTTCGGGAAGGCAGGGTTGGTTCAATGTAATGAAGACTATAAACATAAATCATGTTATTAATATAAACAATAAAAACCATATTACTGTTTCAACAGAGGTGGAAAAATCCTTTGACATGATTCAACACCCATTTCTGTTTAAAAAACACTAGAAAGCATAGAAATAGTTCTTTCCTTAATTTAGTAAATAATATCCATCTAAAATGAAAAGCAAACATAATGTAATGTAGAAAAGTCAGTAGTTTTCCCAGTAAGATCAAGAGTAAAGAAAGAATGCTGATTGTCACCTTTAACTATTTAACATAGTCTGATAAATGTTAATGATAGCGATAAGATAAGAAATAGAAATTGAAGTACTAAGTATAAGGAAAAAGAGGGAAAAAATCATTTTTTGCCGATGACAGTTTATTTAGGAAATCCTAAAGAGTCAACCAAAAAGTTAATTCAAACAATAACCAGCAAAATTGCAGTATAAAAAATAAATCCATACATATTATCAAAATGCCTACCAACAAAATCCATCAGGAAGAGCTAAAAAAAGGAATTCTATTCAGAATAACTACAGATGGTATGAAATATTTGGGAGTGTAAATACCCAAATATATCCAGGAACCACATGAATCCAAGTGTAAAACCCTACAGAAATTATGGCAGAACAAAATAATTTGAGAAATAGGACTAGCACATGGGTAGGTTGAGCCAATATAATAGAAATGATTGTACTATGTACATTTGATGAGTGCTTTACCAAAAAGTTATTTTATAAAGTTAGAAAAAATAATAATGAAATTCTTATTATGGAATGAGGGCAGCTAGGTATTGTGGTGGAGAAAGCACTGGGCTAGGAATCAGGAATGCTCATCTTCCTGAGTATTGGGCCTGTCACTTAATCTTGTTTGCCTTGGTTTCCTCATCTGTGAAATGAACTGGAGAAGGAAATGGAAAACTACTTCAATATCTTTGCCAAGAAAACCCCAAATGGGGTCACAAAGAATTGGACATGACTGAACAACAATGAATGGTAGAACAAAAGGCTGAGAACTGCAAGGATAATAATTTTTAAAAATGTGGCAAGAAAGGGGGCATAGCAGTACCAGATCTACAAAACAGTAATAACAGTTTAGTACTGGTCTAGGGATATGTCAATCAATGGAACTGATCATGTACATAACGTACTGTAGCAAACAAACTTAGTAACGTAGTATTGAATACATTCAAAGACCCTAGTTACTGGAAAGAGGACTCACAATTTGACAAAATCTGTTTGTTAAATTGGAAAGCAGTCTGGCAAAAACTAGCTATAAGTCTATCTCACGGTTACCACAGATCCGTGGCTTAAGACATAAAGGATGACATCACCAATTAGAAGAGCATGGAATTTGCCTTTCATATTTATAGACAGAGGAAGAGGTTATGACTGAACAAGTGGGAGAGGATCACAGAAAAATGGGCAATTTTAATTATATACTATCAAGATTTTGCACAAACCTAATGCAGTGAAAATTAGAAGGGAAACATAACTAGAAAAAATATCTGTGGTAAGTTTCTCTGATAAAAGTCTCATACCCAAGTTATATAAGGAAGTGATTCAAATTTATGAGACTAAGAACCATTCCCCAATAACCAAGTTGTCAAAGAATATGAACAGGCAGTTTTCAAAGGAAGAAATATAACACCTTGTGAAAAAATGTTCCAAATCACTAGTAATTAATGAGGTGGAAATTATAACAACTCTGAGGCTCTGCCTAACACCCATCAGCCTGGCAAAGATGATGAGAAAAATGACATGTTGTAGGGGCTGTAGAAAAATAGGCATCAATGCATTGTTGGTAGATCAGCGAATTAGTTGAACCATTCTGGAAAACAATTTGGAATTATGCCCCCAAAGTTACCAAACTGGACATATTCTTTGATCCAACTATACCGTTACTAGGCCATTGAAGACTCATACATACAAACAATTGTAGCAACTCTTTTCATAGTACCCCCACCTGGAAACTAAGAGGTTGCCCACCTATTGGGGAATGGCTAAGTAAATTGTGGTATATAAATTTAATGGCCTATTATTGTACCATAAATGATGATATGAAGAGTGTCAGAGGAAGAAGTCCAGAGGACTGAGAATGAATCATGCCACCCATGTCCTGTCAGGATGGTGATGGACTTAAAATCTATATTTGGACATGGCCAATGCAGGGATTTGTTTTGCTGAACTATGACTATTTATTGAAGGTTGGAGAAAAACAACTGCTTGTAAAAATAGTTTAAAAAATAAAGCCATTTAAAAAACTAATTCAGAGATGGAGGTGAAGACTAGAAGGCATAGGTAACAACATGAGCAAAGGCATGGAAAGTGTCTTGGCTATGGATGGGAACCACTGAGTGGTCTTGTTTGGCTGGAACATAGAGCTTAAGAGGGGGTATGAATTAAGTATCGATAGCAAAGGTTTTCGGTTTTAATATTTAGAAATAAGATGGCTTCTGTCAGAAAGGTTAGGTCATATTTTTAAGCTTTTGAGGTTGATGTTAAGGGCAGCCAGCATACTTTCCCCCTTAATATCTCTTAATACCAGTGTCAGAGACTGTAGCTAGAAGTGTTTGCAGGAGCCATCTGGTCCTACCCCCTCATTTTACAGATGAGGAAATTGAAGCCCAGAGAGGTTAAGTGATTTACCCCAGGATACACAGAGGTGAGATTTAAACCTAGGTCCTCTGACTCGAATCAGTGTTCTTTTCCACTGTATCATGCTGAGAATTAATGTCAGGTTGGATGAATCTGATGCAAGGTGACTTTCTTTTGGTATGATTGAATGTAGTTAATTTTACTTCCTATATGCCTAATTATTATATTTTGTCTTTTATAGGACGAATATGAACAATAGAAGAGCAGCTAACTACTACTTTTAAAGGCCTGGATAACAGATTGTTTTATGTTGCTTCAAGTTTGTCTTCTCATTGAATTACTCAATTCTATGAATGAATTAAAGAGACACGTTATCTCACTTCTTTTAAGTTAGTATAATTTTGGTTAAATGTTTATGGGGAGTAGCTCTTAAGATGCTGATTAACAGTGTTGTATAGTGGACGGAGAGCTGACCTTAGAGCCAGGAAGATTTGGATTCAAGTCCTACCTCTGATTCATACTGACCCAGGGTCAATATTCTAGGAAACTTTTTTTTTTTTTAAAGGCATTTGGGGTTAAGTGACTTGCCAAGTCACTTGTAAGTGTCTGAGGCTGGATTTGAACTCGGGTCTTCCTGACTCCAGGGCCAGTGCTCTATCCACTGTGCTACCTAGCTGTCCCTTCTAGGGGGATGAAGTTGCAGAGAAAGTACCAACTTGCTTTGGTAGAATGAGTTCCTTTCTTGGAATTCCAAAATCATTGAGATCACAGGTCCATTCCCTATCACTAAATAGTACCCTCATATGTGTAATTTAACAGGCACTTCATCTAGGCTTAACAGCGAGTTTGTATCACTTTGTAGAAAATCTCTGGATCATCTGGTTAGAGAAATATGACCTGAATCTTAAACAACAGTGAAATTTTAGACATTTTTTTACAGTAAGAAAATATTCATAAATGTGCCTCTATAAAATACAAGATAATTGAACCATGTAAGTGAAAATGGGATAAATATGTTTTATTATTTCTTGCTATTAAAAAATAAATGTCAGAGGCCTTGATACTTAGGGGATTGATTTATTAGCATTAACATTTAGGCTCAGCAGAATGAGTTTGAACTGCAGAAAATGAATCTAGAAGTCTCATAAATGTACTGTGAAATGAGTTAAAAACTGTGTTTTACAATGAGAAATAATGACTACATATTTACTTGTTTATTTTTGGTGTCAAAAGAGCCATAAACAGATTGTACAAATAAATCCAGGCCTTTTTATTCAGGCACTGGGGAAATATATTTCTAGATTGTTCTGACAAGAGTACTATTCTACTATGAGCCAGAGGGATGTGCTGCTTAGAAAGTTTTCAGAAATGACTGTTTTATTTAAAACTAGCTCAGTCAGCTGGAGAGCAGGAATAGAACAAGAGCAGACTTGCTGAGTAAGGACAAGTTAGAGTCGGGAAGAGTTTTTGCCATCCCTCCTCCCAGAGCAGCCAGTATATGCCCAATGCCAGTAAGAGCTACAGGCTTGATTGAGCATTTATCTACATCTGAAACACAAAACGTTGTCAGAACACAGAGACAGCTAATGTCCTACTTTGATGCCAATTGCAATGAGAATGCAAATTATTTTTGTATGTGCCTGTTTAATTGTGCGTGTGCCTTAATTTTCTCATTTGTCAATTGAGGATATCTTCTATGCCCACTTTGCAGGGTTATTGTGAAGTGCTTTGAAAAGTTAAAATTCTATGTAAATGTGAGGCATATATTAATAATCATCATCACATCTCTGTGATGGAAAAAATGTTAGGGAAGGCTATGTCCTTATTTTACTCCTTTTAATTATCCACTGACAAGCTCTTTGGGGCATAGAAGTACATCTGTCTTAGAGTCAGGTGCTACGTTGAAGTCAGCTGTACTTTAAAGGGACATGAGCAGCCTCACCTTCTCACCAAAAAAAATATGCCTTCTCTACTTTTCTACCGTTTCTAGGACTAATGAGTGATATAAAGGCAGGAGAAAGACGACTGTCCTCAAAAAGTTAGTAGAAGGTCCCTGTAAGCCCTTCATATGAATTAATTGACCATTTAAGCTAATTGACATCTTGGCCTCAAAGGAATGAAATAAAGGAGGTATTTGGGCATTAGGGATAATTTAAGAAAATTGAGCCGAAGAGCAGGACTGGGATGATGGGTACTTAGGGTGGACAATTATCACTGAAGATGGTTGCCAGTTTTATAGTTTTCTTAGGACAGGCCTTACTCCTGGTTCAAAGGGGATTGGGAAACTATTCATTTATGCCACTTCAGATTTTATGAAGGTACATGACTACAAGCTTTTTTGTTTGTTTTTGCTATAAGACAATCAGCCTTACTCACCCAGGAATATAGGGTCATGTAATCCTTTAGCTGTTAGAAAGTTGTCAAGGAACTTTCGATACTTTATTGTATATAGCATCAAATAACTGGAGAACCATTTGCTTTGCATTTATCATAATTAACCTAATTATAGCATGAAACTAGTAAAACCAGGATTATAGCTTTGATCCTTGATATGGACCAATTAACCTGGTCATGGGCTCCTAATCCTTGGTAGTTGTCATCCAGCTCTAAGTGGTTGGTTGGATCTCAGTAAACAATGAATGAACTAGAGAAACGGGATAAAGCAATGTGTGTGATTCAGGGTAAATTCATCACTACTATAAAAATATCTCAAAGTACATGTTCTACTGACATTTTTGTCAGCATCATTTTGAAGACAATACGTTCTTTATGCTGATTCTGCTTGTTAATCTTAGGATACTCTTTGTAAACAACTGAGGTATCACACTCAGAGGAAGGTAAGTGGTGTAATCAGCCTGGTATGAACAGTGTGACTGAACGGAGAACCAGATAGATTAGGGGTGCTGGGACAAATAGCGAAGGTCAGAGTCGTCTCTCAACTCTGACTCCAGTGAAGGAGTTCCACTTTGGAAGTCGCATGTCAGACTTCTGATTTGAGACCAGGAGCACTATACCTTTTGTAACATTAACAAGGTACTGTGACAGACATCTTGTTCCTTCCTTCTCCCACAAGCTGTTAGCCCATCTTGATGGAATCTCCTGACCTCTACCGTTTTCTGTAATCCCCTTGACTATGGAACCTTGTGCAAGGTACAACAATATCTGAATATCTAAATATGCTGCCCTATAGCATATTTTTGCACAATTTTTGTTACGGAGTAAGCAAAACATTTGTCCGCTAATCACCAAACAGCTCTAGAGTTCAGTGTACCTCCTCCCTCTTTTAACCTCTTTTCTTTGTCCACATAAATAAGTGTCTGTAGAAGAACAGAGACTATCTGTATGTCCAGGAGGCAAGTTCATTGCTTCTGATAATTTCTCTGCTGAATGCTTGATCTTTTCATAGACAAACTAACTCAAAATCTAAATGCGGCATTCTTTGTATAGTTGGTTGCCTTCTCTTCAGAACTATAAATCCAGAAAGGGCACGTGTGTGTGTGTGTGTGTGTGTGTGTGTGTGTGTGTGTTGTCTGGACTTGTGATTTCATTGGGGCAGTGATCTGGCTGATGCAACTTGCTATCACTGCAGATGGCAAGTGGTCTGCAGTTGTGAATTTTAGTTGTCTGGGAGCCTTGCCCAAAGTCACGCACAGCTCTTACATGTCAGAAGCAGGACTCGTACTCAGGTTATTGTGTGTGTGTCTATGTGTTTGTATGGCAGGGGACTTAATGTTAACAAATTGGGATCAAGTCTGGTTCTCCCTGTTAAAATGAGAGAGGCTTTAGGGCAAACTGTGGTTAAAGGAGATTGGAGGCATGGTATTCAGCTTGCTTAGCATTTCCCACAACACTTGTCCCTTTCTATTTTCAACAAAAATAAAGTATTGAGGATCTAGTATTTATGTGGCACTCTAGATACTTTTGAGGATACAAAGAAGTAGAAATGCCACAAGGAACCTAAATACACACCAAGTTAAAGAGCAATACAAGAATAGAATAACATTACAAAAGAATGATTTTAAAAGATGTACCTAACCAGTCAATCTATAATTAAGTACCCAATGAGTAGCACAGACAAGTGTTAAAGAAGAAAGATAAATGTAAACTAGATTGGTTTCTGCTTTAGGTTCCAGGAAACAGAATTATTTTGGTTTTTGCTTCTCCAATTTCTCTGTTTTCTTCATTATTTTTTCTTGATCCCTAACTACATGGATTCCCTAAGGCTTTGTCCTTAGCCACCTGCCCTTTTCTTTCCATACTTTCTTCCTTGGAGAGCTTTTCTATTTGATGGGCTTTAACCTTCTATGCGGATGACTACCAAATATTTATCACTGATGTCTCATTACACTCAAATCCTGTATTTCTAAATAACATGTACTGTTGAGTATCCTGCCTTTTTTGCTAGAGAAACACATTTCCAGAAAATTTGAAGACTCATGATTTTGTTTCCTTCCTTAGGGGAAAAGTCAGACTTGGGAAGCATGTTAAAATATATACAATTTTTTAAGCCAAACTTTGTCAGTGGCAATTTATTAATATGCAAGCATTTTTACTTGGAGGGTCAAATGGGTAGAGATTCCCTCTCCTGACAAATTTTCTACCTCCAAAGCAGTTTCCACTTATATCTTTTGTAGTAATCAAATATGTACAATTTTTAGTGTGCTTTACAGATTTAAACTTTCATTGTTAATGTAAGAGTAATAAAATGTGCTTTTGTCCATAAAATTGTCATGTTTTAATATACCTTAAATCTGTGATTTCATTGATGTGGTTATGTCATCTACCAGTATAGATCATGACCCATTTCATGACTCATGCCTTCTCATTCTTTAAAATTCTTGTCCATGTCCTTCTATAAATCTTTCATTGAAGAGTAATGTGTTAAATGCTTTCATTTAGTCTTTTAATATTACATGGATACCGATGCAATACTGGGACAATTCGTCTGTTTTACCTAGTTTTCATTACAGTTGGCCTTCATTTTTTCATCATACATTTCCTTGATGATGTCTTAGCACAGTGCCTGGTACATAGTAGGTACTTAATAGATGTTGATTGATTTTTCTTTTATACCTCCTTTCATGTGAGTCATTGCTGATAATCTGCATCCTACCTGAACATATATCTTCCTATTATAGGTCATAAAAGTATACATAGTGAATGTTTGCTGAATTTAGTTGAATGTTTGATCTACCACATTTTTGTTCAGTCATTTCAATTGTGTCCAACTCTCCATGACCCCAAACATGTTTGTGTTTTAAATTTTAAAATATAGTTTCATACAATAATTACAAATTTGCTATTGTAGTTTATTTTAAAGCATTTTAAAAATTCTGACAAACAATGGAACTACAAACT